ACCAGCCAGTTCAGCATCTATCAATGTAACGTCTGAACCATTATCCAACAATGCATAAGTCTCTACTGAAGATTTCGGTCCTTTCACCTTAACTGGTAATACCCCTAAGAAAACTTGTGGGGTGTCAAGGGGTCTAGAGATACTATTACAATTAACCGAATTCCCAGGTTCGTTCACTGTCCTCAGAAGTGGGTGCATATCCGTTAAACCACTACTTCCTTTGTTTGTCGCCTTACAATTCCACTTTGTATGCCCAATCTTTAAACAACTGAAACACAGCCGCTTCTGCTTTGCCATTTTTAACCTTTCTACGGGTGACATAGCGATAAAGCGATTACAATCACTCAATTGATGCATGTTATGGCAAACAATACACTCATCCTTTCTCGTTGTGTCTTGAGACTTCACCACAAATGCCTTCCTTATATTCACTGGTTCCTTAGGTTCTACCTTAGAATGCAAAATGCTGGCGAATTTGCCCATCGCCTGGTTGACACTGTCCTTCACCAGTCTCAGAATATCATCAAACCTTGGCTCGATACCCTCATCCTCTATACGAGAGCTTATCTTCACCCACTTCCTTTGCAGCCGAGTAGGTAGGCGTCTCGCAATTACCTCTAGGACTGAGCTCGAGTTGAGGTCACTCATGCAATTCATAGAAATCAAGGTATTCTTATAAGTCATAAGATTATCTAAAAACTCAGTAAGTGCCTTGGAGTCATCTTGAAGTTGACTGCCGTTACCTTTGACAGCTTCGTATACGTTCCTTACAATCATCGAAGGTCTTCCAAACCTTTGACGTAATATGCTCATAGCCTCAGCGTATCCCTCATTAGGGGCATGAGCTTACAGCACTGTATAGCTCTTGAAGCATCTCCAGTGCAATACCTCATCAAATACATCAATTTCAATTCATCACTTAATAAAAAACTACTCAGCATGATCTCAAACTCCTTTACAAATTGTAAATAATCAGCCGGGTTTCCATCAAAACACCGTGGTTCAAATTTAGGGAGTTTGATGTTCCTATTATCCCTGAACGGCGAAACAGTAACATCAACCATGTCATGCTTAACATCAGACACATCGTTACAATTAACAGACAAGTCACCATGACTTACTTTCCTGTTTGCATCCAAGACACTCTGTCCCTTCTTTGACCCAGGCATTGTTGAACTTGACCCAATTCCAAAAACGTTCCAGATATTGCTTGTTCAAAGAGGACTTGACCGGCACCAGGAAAGATGAACGGTGACTATCCAAAGTCGTGCCAATTCACCGTCAGAAACTGTCAGCCACGTCTCGTAAACCGTTAATGCCCAGCTCTTGCTACGCTCGGGCTCACGCTGTTCCTTGAAGTTTCTCAGAAACGCTTAGTAATAACGGACGAAAAAACCAAAACACCAATTGTTGACTCGAGGATTCTTTATTGTTACACCAACATATAAACAATGTTATAACTAAGGTCTGTGAACAAATATTACAATAATAAATCACAATATTACTTCTGACGGTTTTCTTCTGACTTCTTTCTGAACAGCGACCGATGAGACGATGACTGTCGTATTGATGCCTCCGCGAAAAATATGAAGGAGTTGGGTTTGAGCAAACAGCAATGAATTGATCGTTCAATCTTCAGCTACATTGACAGGGACTGTGCCAGGGCGACAAAGTGGGAAGATATACCAAAACCATGGGCATGGGTTGTCTCGCGTAAACTCCTTTGTCACAACGGCAGTGCACCCATGGTTTTCAAAAATTGCATTCAAATGCTGGGTCAGTTCAAGAAACGAAAACACTACAGGCCTGACATTCTTTACCCTTCCTTGATGACGCTTTCGAGGTCTTGTGACGTCTTGGGGCTTCCTTTTGTTTTGCTGTGCCTCACGATGGATGCAGGTGTAGTATTCTGTCCACCTGGTATTGCCTGAGCTGTTCCAGTGCTAAACTGTGGCAGTGCAGGCGTATTATCGGAACAGGCGAGACCTATATGTCTTTATAATCGATATGCGGGAAGGGATTGGTTTCCCTGGGTTATTGCCCTCCCTGGCGGAAGCCCTTGTGACTACAGAAAATGGTGTTTAGTGCTTTCCCTAAGGCTAATTTCAACAGCCATATTTAAAATATTAAAATAACTTATGCTATATTCGAATAATAGAGCCACAGTATCTATCCACAAGAACAAGAACAAGACTAATAAAGTACAAGATAGGGTTTTCGACTTTACCTAGTACTTTCTGGATGATCGGTTTCACAGCAGTCACACGGTAGACCAGCAGATCTTATTTATCTGAACAAGTGAGAAAGATGCTGCTATAGAAGAGGCACCTTAAGCGTTGGCGGTAGTTCGAGACGGCTGGACTTACCATACAGAGATTTAATATATAAGTAGTGGTTGAATTTAATTCACCGGCTAGGGAAATCAGGTTTCTCAAAAAGATAATTCACAAAATAGGTATTCTCCGGTTGGAGAGGAAAAAGCAGGTCGTATTGCTGTGTACCACAGTCCTGACTGCAGTGCAGATGACTTCCTAATAGAGAAGCTAGGCTCCTGGACTTCGAAATGTCGAAGTCTCGTAGTTGGCGACTTCAACGCCCCAAAAGTTGATTGGTCGAGCCTAACAACTCCATCTTCACTCAACTCCTTTGATCATAAACTGTTGGAATCTAGTATATCGCAAGCTCTAGTCCAACATATGACTCACAGCACTCCTCCTCAACTCTGGACCTAGTGTTCTCCCACGGTGAGGATGTGGATCTCATACAACATCTTCCTCCGTTAGGAAGAAGTGACCATGCTGTGCCCACTTTCAAGTTCACAGCAACGGCAGCAAGGGCCAAAACCCCAGCTCGACCATTTGTTTGGAAAGCTGATATAAATGCAATCGTCTCAGCAGCCAACTCAGTAAACTGGTACATCAACCCAGAGTCCCAAGTAGAAGCCGCATGGAACCAATTTAAACAACTTTACGCCCAAGTAACTGAAACTTTCATCCCTTGGTCTGTTCCAAAGGGTCGGAAACATTGCCCCCCTTGGATAAACCGAGAGATTCGTAAGTTACTCAGACGTAAACACAAATGTTGGAACCTGTTTGCCACACTTGAGACTTGAGACCAGGGAATTACATAACACTGCTAAAAATAAAGCTATCGCAGAAATCCGCCAATCAAGGATGGTGTTCGAAGCACACCTGGCTCAAAATGCAAAGGCACAACCTAAGAAAATTTTCTCGTACATGAATTTCAGGAATAAAACATCCAATGGTGTCCCAAACCTGATTATTGACAATGATACAATCGAAGAAGATCAAGAAAAAGCAGAAGCAATGGCAAACTACTTCTCTCAAGTCTTCACTCAGGAGTCATCGCTGCCTATAGGATCAGCTCTGGCTGCATCAGAAGAACATGGGATAGATTCCGTTGACATCGACCAAGGCATCGTGCTCGACTGCTCAATGAAACTAGATGCAGGGAAATCAGTGGGTCCTGATAATCTTCATCCAAGGCTTCTCAAGGAGCTATCAGCCCACATAGCCGGCCCCTTGACCACGATCTTCAAGCTATCTCTACCAAATGTAGTGTTACCGCGTGATTGGAAAGACGCCATAGTAACCCCATCTATAAAGGAGGATCAAGACAAAGCCCCTCAAATTACAGGCCTATCAGTCTCACCAGCACTTTAATCAAGACACTGGAGAGAATTATCAAGGAAAGCATCATGGCATATCTGGAAAACAGCAGCTTGTTATCTAGAGCACAGCATGGCTTCCGGAGGAACCTCTCATGCCTGTCAAATCTCTTCACTGCAAGAGAAAGCTGGGTCAAATCAAAGGACAACAGAAGACCCGTTGACGTCGTCTTCATAGACTTCAGCAAAGCCTTTGATAAAGTACCTCACAAAAGACTACTCATGAAATTGGAAAGTTTTGGTATCAAAGGCAGATTACTAAACTGGCTCAGGGAATTCCTCATAGATAGGAGGCAGAGGGTTAGGATCAACTCAAAACTCTCCTCTTTGACAGCAGTACGTAGCGGAGTGCCATAAGGCACGGTACTCGGTCCTCTCCTATTTATTCTGTATATCAATGAGTTACCTCTGCTCACCGACTCCCCTATGGTCCTATACGCAGATGACTTAAAAATTTGGAGAGAGCTGAAGGGCAACAGTGATATGTTCACGTTGCAAGAGGACCTCAACAAACTGTCAGAGTGGTCCGTTGAATGGATGCTCCCGATCAATGTGGCAAAATGTGCAACCATGCGCATTGGACAAGCAAGCACAAGCCCTACGAATTAGAGGGAATAACACTTCCATCAGTTCAGACTCACTTGGACTTAGGTGTCATAGTTAGCCACGACTTAAAAACTACAGCACACTGTCGCGCGGTGGCTGCACGTAGTTTCAGGTCCTTATGGGTAATTCGCAGAGCATTTACTAGAATCACCAGAGATATGTTCACCTCCTTATACACATCCCTGGTTAGGTCAAGACTGGAAAACTACATCCAAGCCGCCAGTCCTTGTCTAAAAGGGGACTCACACATTCTAGAAAGTGTTCAAAGGAAGGCAACACGTATGGTTCACGGCATAGCTAACTTATCATAAGAGGAAATACTAGACAGTTTAAATCTCTTCTCCCTGTCATACCGTAGGCAGAGAGGAGATTTAATCACAATGTTTAAAATTTTAAATAATGACTACGGACCTGACCTATTCTTTCTTTTCATTCCCACCAGGTCGGTACACCTTAGAGGACATAGCAGGAGAGTTCAAAAGCCAAGGAGAAATCATATTGCTGTTGGGTACTGGTTCTCACATCGAGTCATAAACTCTTGGAACCGACTCCCAGAAGAAGTGGTGTCTGCAACCTCAACTGATTCGTTCAAGAAGGGTTTGGACAACCACAGAAATATACTAGAATAGGATTAACATAGGCTCCAAGCCTTCTATCCTCAACCAATAAATCTGAATCTGAAATCTGAATCTGTATTCAAGGAGCGCGCTCACTGGTTTCAGTGGCAATTTCAAGTCTGAGAGTTGACCTTGGTTTCATGACATCTGAGCTTGTTCCGGATGCTCCGTATGTTTATATGTTTCATCATGATGCATTAGGTGGTATTTTGGAGAAATTAGTAGAGAAAAGGCTAATGAGATTCTTATCGATCAACCAGTTGGAACATTTTTAATACGTGACAGCACTACTAAATCTGGTTATGTCCTGGCAATAAAGTAGGTTTACCTTTCCCCTTTTCACACTGATAGGGAAGCCAACGAAGTCAAGCGCTATCTCTTAACATGGGCTCCGCAGCTAAAAAAGTTCAAATTTGGTGATACCCTGTATTCTTCTTTGGAAGAGCTTGTAAGACTTCATACATCACACTCTTCAAGTACACGAATGAGACAACCCGCACAGAAGGCGACTTACGCAGCATTGTATTCATTCCAAGCACAGGTTAGGTGTATCCTTTCTCTCCTATTTCTCAGGAAGAGAGTGACCTTTCGTTTCAAAGGGGAGACTTGTTAACCTTCATAAGACAGAAACGTGACTGGATACTTTGCAAGTCAAGTGATAACCAAGTTGGTTGGGTGCCTTCAAATTATCTCACTCCTGTAAGTTATCAGGCATGTGTGGTCCTTAGAAATATTTTGAGTATAAAATTACTTAATGAAAATAATAAAAGACTAGAAACAAACTGCACAAATTTACAAAGGTTTTACACAAGTACACCATTAGCAAGCTAGCTCTCTTATGCACAGTTAAGATATAAATGTATCTAATATGTTTGTATGTCAAATTTAATATCGATTGGAATAACAGTGGAAGAATAATGTGCCTACCCGCTTTTACTCTGGATGCTCTTTTGATGATTTCTCAATACAAGAGAAAAGGATGTTATCATGACACTTTGCTTTGAAACATGACTGGTGGAGGTAAAAGATGGGCTTCTTATTTAACTTTTACTGGCGTTACCTACTTTTTGAGAGTCCCACATGTGGATACAGACATCTGATATAGCGTTATGAAATGGAGCATGTCTTATTTGTACCTGATCTATGTTCACTCCGATTGATAATTTCAGATATAAGAGGCTTAGACTGAATGTTAGGGATGATTGCACGAAATGTCATCCGTTATTGATTGATTATTAGCACTAATTATTCGTCTAGTATATTTCGCTGTGGTATTTTAAATGAGGATCGAGACTTTCAGGGAATTAGATCCAAAAGTGTCCCGAATGTTTTGGAAAATGGGAACGTCCCAGTTGGGACTCCAAGTTTTGTCGTTCATATAATTGTTTTGCCTTCTATGTACTGCTCTGCGGCTTGTTGTCACATATTAAAACGCTGCATGTATGTACACTACCGCATCACGTCGTTCCCACTATCTCACTAACTACACTTCCAACTCCATGTTCCAAGTCGAACAACAGGCCTCACTAGCTGAAACTCCTGCATCCCGGGCTTTGAACGAGTGTTTTCTCTTGTAATTCATATGGATTCTAACTATTACTGAACCTTACCCGCTTAACTTGGTAGTTCCACAAAATTACCATATGAATGTCGGGAGATTCTTCGGCCCGTTCTTGAGTCGCTGGTGTAGAGACAATATTAGGCTCAAATTGACAAAACTCACTACTCAGTTTAATTGAAGTCAAATGTGTGCTTTTCGGTAAACTGATTTCATGAGAGTACGGTGAGTGGTACTCATTAACAACTTTTGTCTCCACCTACTCACGGACTACCAGAAGGCAAGCATTGCTAATCTCGCCTTTCTTTAGTAAATAAACTTTGTTATCTAATTGTTATTTCTGATAATTTTAATTTTTTTAATTATTATTTGTTTTTATAGTGTCCTTTCCTACCCTTAATATATGTCTTTATCTGTATTCTTGACCAGGCGCTTTCTTGATTTCTGTTCAACTAAATCATTTGACCAATTACGTTAGTGTATCGTTGATTTTACACCTCTATTCCACGTCCAACTGTTGTCCGTGGTTCTAAAACATATCTCAATATGAAACCGAGTGACAGTGAATTATGGAGTTATGCCTTATTCATTTCTGTTCTCATCAACGAGATTAATGGTGACTTCGGTTCCCTTCCACTGTACTCCTTTCCACTCACGTGATAATAGCGTCCTTTGTTCACCCCTGTAATGTTTCACTAAAGTATTCAAAATTGTCTTGTTCTATATTTAACTTTTTATAGTTGTATGCAGCTGACTTATTCCAACGTAATATAATGACGTGATGTATCCTGGCTAATGTGTTCTGCCTTTCTTGAATTACATCCTTATGGCGCAATACATTTTATAGAAGGAAGCTATCAGTATCTGATTTATTTTACGAACTCCTTCTTAAATATAAATACGATTGTACAATGAAAAGGATTTGCAGCTCAGGTGGATGATTTTGATGTAGTTGTGTTCTCTGAGCTGGATGATTCACTTGCGAAGCTTTCATTGCCTTATTAGGCAACATCTTCAGTGCATACTTCAATTTGAAGTTAGCTTTTATATTTCTCCACGAGTTTATTGGTTATCTCTCCTGGTGACCCTCAACGTCATTGGTTGCTTTTGTCTAGTCTACTTGTATTGATTGTTTCCCTGACCTGAAGTTTGACGTTTTGTGCATGAGATTTCCCCTTTTGGATTGGTATATTTTACTTATGTCAATTTGCCTGTTAATTGCCGATTCACTGGAATATCAGGCTTTTAAAAATCGTCATTCTTGGTGTTTCCCCTACCTAATACTTGAACGTTGTTCCAGTCGAATTGATCTCCGTAGTTGTCTGTATGCAGTGAGTGATATGAGGGAGTGGATATCATGTCTTTTGACGGCTAGTTTTTGTTCATGGATGCAAAGATGAAGAGAGCGACCACTTTGGCCAATGTACTGTTTTTTTGCAGTTGTTGCAATTTATCTTGTAGGGGATGTTGGTTTTATCTTCTTTCGCTGTTGCGTCTTTTGGTTGGCACAGAGCTGAGTGAAGTGATTTTGTTGGTTTATGTGCGACATCAATTCCTAAATGTATGAAGAGTCTTGCAGTGATTTCTGAGAAGTCTTTCATATATGATGAGATGATTTTCTTTGCGGCCTTTGATTTGGTTGGTTGGCTTGGAGGTAGATGTCTTTTGATGAAATTTCGTGGATATCCATTCTTTTGAAAGACGTCCATGGGATATTTTTCTTCAATTGTCCTTGAGGTGTGAGTGCTGCAATGGGTTCTGGCCTTCTTGAATAGTGTTTGTATACAATTCCTTTTGTGTGTCACTGGATTGTTGCTACTGTAATTCAGGATTTGGTCTGTGTGAGTTGATTTTCTATAAACATGAGTTTCTAATTCCCCTGTGGTTGTTTGCTTGACTCAGACATCTAAAAATGGAATTTTGTCCTCGGATTCCTCTTCTCTTGTGAATTTGATATCGTCAAAGATGTTATTTTGTGAATTTTGTCTAAGTCAATTCTTTTGATTATCACGAATGTGTCATCCATGTAACGTATCCAAATTTTGGGTTTGATCCTCAGTATCACAGCCTTTGCAATCAGACTCAGTATGGACGATCCCATTGGTGTCTCTTTAATCTGTTCATAAATTTGACCGTTGAATTAAAAATATGCCAATCTAATCCTTTGTGCCACAGTGCCACGTCACAAGCTGACCATAGGTTTATGCATTCCGTCAAACTTGTGTATTGCATTATTGAGTGTTGTGAGAGGTAATCGTCGTTGTTGATTAATTGCCCCATTGTTTCTTTTGCTAGTTTCTGTCCAGTTGAAGTATATAATGCTGTGACATCGGAGGCTACCATTATTTCTTGGTCATCTATTTGAATGCCTTTGATTTTCTCTAGAAATTGTGTTGCAGATTTGATGGAGTGATCGCAGGATTCCGTTAAGTGTTTCAATTTTCCGTCTAGTTCTTTGGATAAATTGTATGCTGGGGTTAATGGAAAAAGAGTGCCTCCGTCATCAAATCCTACCAGCCAGTGTCAGATGCAAACCACCAGTCAACTGCCCATCCATGCAGCTCAGGAAACACAACTAGTTCAAAACGACTGTAGAACTGCTGAATTAAATTGTGGGGAAGAAAATTTTCTTAACTGTTTACGTCTTGTAAATCAATATGAAGTTGTTCGGTTCATTGTTCAGGTTTATCAGTTTAAATGTTGGCTTGAGATTCTAATCACTGTACTTGTTACTAATATCATTATTGAGCTTTGCAGTCATTTTACGTATCAATCGAATACCCCTCAATGTACTTATGATAATTTATATACCACTGTATGTAGAGTATTCGGATAAGGGATTCTACTGAAATTTGATGAATTCATTGATTTCTGTCTGTAATAAGGTGTGTTGCTTATTTTATTTAAACTTGTGGAAGTCTAAACCATTACTTACTTAACATTTATAGTATTTTCTGTTTGCTACAATTGTTTTGAAATCCTCAAACGTAATACGTGGTATTAAGTAAGACTGTCTAAGTTTCGACATCGAACTACCTTTGCACAAGAGTACATTATTTAAAGCACCCCTGAAACTGTTTGCTCCATCGTGTTCCAGGTATTCATCCCGAGGAGGTTACTAAAGCTCCGCTTTTTGTTAGAAATTATCTCACTAATCATTTGTCTTTTACAATTCATTTTCCCTAATCGATGCTACGAATTTAACATTATCATTGTTATGTGTGATTGCATTACTGTGATATTACCATAATCATTATCAACATTCTATTGCATTCTATTTACTTATTTCAATTTTTGAATTTTAGTTCACTCCTGAAATTGTAGCCAGATTAAAGGGACACTGTGATCAAGTTGGCTTAACTTATTGTCATATGCTGAAATGTATTCAACTACCTGCTACTGGGAAGGTTGTTAGAGCAAGAAATCCAAGCATCTTTGCTACAGGACATCTAAAAGTTGAAGTTAGTGCTTTATATTGATTATATATATTTAACGGGAGAAATTAAGAGGCTTTGTAACGAATTGTTTATTTGCAATTTGATATACACATATGGGGAAATTATGTATATGTACTATATGTTATATGAAAATAACCAACCAACAACAACAACCACAGCAGCAACATCCAGCGCCAGTCACTATCAACGGTAGGGATTTGAAAGAGGTTACTTCATTCACTCACTTATCTAGGGAGCATTATGTCAGCTACAGGCAGTCGGAACGGACGAGGATGTCATATCGAGCGAGAATCGTGAAGGCGAGAAACACATTCATCAACCAACTGAAACCAATATGGAAATCTTCGTCACTCAGCCAGCATCAACAACAAAATTTGGTCGGATTTTCAATACAAACGTCAAGTCAGTCAGTTCTTCTATACGGATCAGAAACTTGGCGGGCGGGCGGGTCACAAAGAATATTTCCAACAGCCTGTTGCAGACCTTTATCAACCAACAACTGTCTTCGCTGGCTCTGTACTGAAGATCAGAAGGCCGGGTTGGGCCGGAAAGAATCAACAACGAGAAACTATGGATGGGAACAAAGAAAAACATCGCTCGCGCTGCACTCTCAAACAAAAGGCCGAGCGATGCTGGGGACATCACTCGTGCCTAGTTCCCATGAAACTTCATGAACTCTCTACAACATCAACCAAATTCCAGTACTGGTCCAACGTCGCCTTCGGTGGTTTGGCCATGTTCTGCGCCGACCAGATGACGATCTGGTCAAATCAGTTCTAAATCCCTCGCCATTTCCATCTTCGCGATGTCGCAGGGGTGGACAGCTGAAAACATGGCTTGGTACAGTCAAGGCTGATATGGAGTGCCTGGGGCTACAAACCGTCTATGGACTCCTGGAACAAGAATTGGATAACCCTGTCACAAAACCTTGCATAAGATCGCCGCGCCTGGCCAGCGATGATTCGAGATGTTCATGAAGCCCGCTCATCCTCCCGTAGGAGATAGCCGAAGTAAGTAAGTATCGCTCGCGCGTCAGGCCATTGCTCGAGTGGAACCAGGCCGAAAGGAAAGCGGCCAGTGGGACATCAGTGGAAGGGTGACATGGAGGAGATCGTGTGAAGAGGAGTTAAAACAGTATGGACTAACATGGGTGCAGGTGAAAAGTACATCAGAAGACAGAAGCAAGTGGAGACGTGCAGTTGAAGCCCTGTGTTCCACTAGGAACCCAAGGGAACAATAATAATGTATCCCATATATTTTAAAACAGTCATTTGCACAGATCTTCCGTATTGTGCTACTTCCACCCTTCGTATTCTGTTTCTTTGTCTTTTTTTGTGTCCCCTGGTTTATTTCTTCTTCATGAAGTCAAATTTATCTCTCCGCTATTTGATATTTTTTTGCCGATGAACATCTCTTTAGGTACTACTAATAAATGTTGTCAGTAGCACACTCATATATATATATATATATATATATATTATGCAGTTTCGTTTTTGAATTGAATTTTGTGCGAAAGTGTAGCTATTCAAGTCATCACGTTTCATAAAAGTACACATAAACGTAGAAAGAAAAAGAAATGCCACGAAACCTAAGTAAATGGAATGGCATGAAGAAAGGTGAAGACTTAATGTATCCGGGAGATATTGATCTGTTATTCCTTATAGTGTGATTCAAGTTATAGGACTTGTTTCCGCTTGATGATAAATGTCACACTGTAACTCATTAGAACGTAATGGTTTATGCTAAAGAGTGCATCCCTTATTTTAGAGTTGTTAACGGTTGATGGTTGAGATCATCTCTGTCTCATTAGAATTGCTTTCATCCTATGGCATCATCGTGTATGTAATTCTGAGGTCCAGCAGCGTGTGCTTGGACATGATGGAGGTCATCCGACATTGAGTGTGGTCATCCTGGGACGTTGACTTCAGTGGCTTGAACGTGCGGTACGAATGTCATTCCAGAGCCTCCTCTCACACTGCTCATTGTCCTCTAGCCCTGGAACTAGATGAGAAAAGCGGAGAAGTGGCCAGTCTATGAGGGATGGCCTTGCGGGATGGTACATCATAACTCCCTAGGTGGGGTCCCAGAGATAATTCGAATCGGTGGCTCGAGACATCAACTGAGGTTAGCAATCTTAATTAATGACGAACATGCTACAATATCCTTCCTTCTTCCCTTTTTGAAAATAACATGAATTAATGAATAATGAGTAGGCGTGACAAGTATGCTTGCTTACTTTCTGAATGACCTCCCTCATTCATTCTGCTACTATTTCCCTTATATTTTGTTGTTTTACTGTTTTTTTTTGGGGGGGGGGCGGGGCATCATTTGGTGTCTATAATGTACCAAGTCTTTTTTCTTGATAATAATAATGATTGAGAGGAATAGACAGTTTAAGGAGAAAATCACCTTCAAGTTGTGGAAGGTTGAATGTTTGAATCATTAAAACATTTTTCCTGCGTCCACTTGTGTCTAAAGGAGTATATAATTTGAGTAGAATGCATACGCTGCGACATGTAATACTTTTATGTCTGTCTGTTTTCGACATAGAACTTTGCACCGATGTGCGATGTGCGGAGTTCAAGTCGCCACACTCCCCCCATGTAGCACCCAAAGCAAGAGAAGAAAATAGAAATGCGTAATAGAAACAGTAAACAGAGGTGTGAGACAAAGGGAATAGTAATGTCGAAGAACAATATAGTTTCATTGGAAATTACAAGTCACAAGTAGTGGATGCACCTGCACCAGCCAGCCATTGAGAACGATCACTTTGAGCCATATCACCAATTGTTTCCAGCCTCCATTGGTTTTTACCGTCTTGAGGACCTCAACCGATCAGGAAGTCTACACCTTCCTACGTGGCTGGCTGGCTGGCTTAAACTAACTGTTTGGATTTCATTGACTAGTGAAGCCATGTTTTGGTTTGACCACCACTTGCTCTTTTCCAGCCTGTCCCTATGTCAGCTAACATTGCCCGTCGAGGAAAGTGATGACTAGGCATGCATGCGTAACACATATCTTAACCATCTGAATCGGTTTA